GATCTATCGTCGAAGGATCTTTGGTGGGTATCTCTCTCGCTCTTAGATCTATTCTGTCGTAGGTAAGGACATTCATTTCCATCTAATCGTAAGAGATCTTGGTGTCGCTCTCCTCACAAAGAACTTTCGCATCAAAGCAGTGTGAGATGCAATACCTCCTCTTCCTCCTCTCTTTCCTCCTCCTCTTCTCCTTCCTCCCTCTCCTTCCCATCCCCCTTCTTTCTCCTCCTTACTCCCCTCCTCCACTGTCGTGTCTAAGTCAGTTACCCATAAAAATTTTTAGATCCGTTTTCTTTTATGTTTACATGTATCTAGTGAGTGATGTTATTAAATGATACTGAGCACATAAACACTTACTGATGGTGATAGTTATTGTTATTTAATGTCTTATCTACACTAACTTACTCCTGAACCTCAATAGTTTGTCTAAATAGAGAATTCCATTATTATCGTACCTCAACAACGTCTACTATAGGTACAATATATAGTTATATTTTGTGTCTATTTTCACTACCTGTTCTTTCTTTCTTTCTTTCTTTCTTTCTTTCTTTCTTTCACAGTAATCAAAATGAACAACAAGGACTCTCTCTATTCTAAATAGTTATCATTAGTGACTCACCTGTAATTGGGGTAGATATTAATTCCAGGGCCCCGTTACAGTATGTAGTGATGGTGGTGGCGGCTGTGTTGTAGTGATGGTGGTGGCGGCTGTGTTGTAGTGATGGTGTGGTGGCGGCTGGTAGTTATGGTGGTGGCGGCTGTGTTGTAGTGATGGTGGTGGTGGCGGCTGTGTTGTAGTGATGGTGGTGGCGGCTGTGTTGTAGTGATGGTGGTGGCGGCTGTGTTGTAGTGATGGTGGTGGCGGCTGTGTTGTAGTGATGGTGGTGGCGGCTGTGTTGTAGTGATGGTGGCGGCTGTGTTGTAGTGATGGCGGTACTGTGTTGTCATTTCAGAAGGTTTCATTAGAGTCTGGCGGTGTCTTTTTTTTTCTCTCTGTCTGTTTTCCCATTTTTCTGTTTGTCTGTCTGTCTGTTTGTCTGCTTCTTATTTCTTTCTACCTTTGTCATTTAAGCCCCTTAAGTTTGTCTATATCTCATTGTGTTTCTGTACGTCTGTATGTGTGTGTGTGTGTGTGTGTGTGTGTGTGTGTGTGTGTGTGTGTTTGTATGTTCTATGTCTTTCTACGTGTCTGTATGTCTATTGCCTCTCATTGTGTGTCTATATGTCTGTGTGTCTCATTGTGTTTCTGTACATCTGTATGTGTGTGTGTGTGTGTGTGTGTGTGTGTGTGTGTGTGTGTGTGTGTTTCCTTGTATGTCTGTGTGCGTCTCATTGTGTGTCTATATGTCTGTGTGCGTCTCATTGTGTGTCTGTATGTCTGTGTGCGTCTCATTGTGTGTCTATATGTCTGTGTGCGTCTCATTGTGTGTCTGTATGTCTGTGTGTGTGTCTCGTTGTGCCTCTGTGTTCGTCTCTCCAACTGCGAGTGAGTTTAACAAGTTTGACGTCAGCAAGGACAGGAAAATGGTGGAGTATGACAGAATAACTTAATGTTGTGTTTCACTTCTCATTAACGTTGAGTCTGTCTGTCTGTCTGTCTGTCTGGCTGATGTTTTATTTCTCTATGTCTCTCTCTGTTACTCTCTCTCACTCGCTGTTTCTCCCGCCCCACCATGACGAAGGTAACTACCGGCTGTACCTTGCTTGGCCTGACGAGGAGCCCCGGAGAGACTAGATGGTCGTGAGCTCCCGGATCCCCGCCGGTAAAACACCTTCAGGAGATTAAACCGATGAATCCTGGTGTCACCTGAGCTGAGAGGAGGTCGTGGGGGCCTGATTATCCCACGGGGCGCTGCACAAGTTGCTTAATTCTATTACATTGTGACTCCCTCGTGATGAGTCCCCTCCCTCCCTCCCTGCCCCCCCTCCCTCCCTCCTCCCTCCCTCCCTCCTCCCTCTCTCCCTCCCTCTCTCCCTCCCTCCCGGCTCCTAGGGTTTCAGCAGTTAAGGTAGAGATTAAAGTATTATTTTTCTCTCTGTTACGAGATTTTATCTGAAATCTAGAGATTAAGATAGTGTTTATTTTTCTTCTGTTTAAGGGGAATATCTTGAGGGATGTTTTAGGGAGGCCCTCCATAGGCAGAGTAGAGGGCGGTGTGGTGCTGTGGTAGAAATGTCTTACAGGCTCCTGGTATTTTTATTCTGGTTTTATCTTAAAATTTGTAACATTTACAATGGATAAGTTTATTTGATCCAAGATGTGAAGATTTCCTTTAGAATATTTCACCTTAAAATCACGACAAACAGACCTTAAAGAACAAACTCAAACAAACCTTTGATTTTAGCTGAAACGGACCACTGGGTCTTGTCAACTGTGGTCTGATCCTATACCTACATGAGACACAGCGCCAAGTGGGATGTTTTTAGCTTTACCGAGTTGTGGTGCTGAAAATATTAACCCCTGGTCTACGGGCGCCCCTCTGTACTGAATATAATCATCTGGTGTTGGAGAAATAAAATATTAAACGTGGTGTCCCCGCAGTGAAGGTGTTAGTGGAGATAGTCTACTAACCCCTCGTGTTGTTATCGTGTTAAATCTTGATGCACGAGGCGAGTGTTGGGTCAAGCGGTACACTAGCTGTTGAAATTGAACTTTTACCGAATGACTTTGACAGGCAGCTCAAGATTTTTATGTAGAAAGTCTTTAAAGAAACGAGTTACTCATGAGTCACGGAACATACAGTACCTGATCAATATACAGAGATCACTGACGATAAGCAAAGGTCACATATACCACCAGAGAGTCGTAAATTGAAGCGACTATTGTACCATTGCGTCACCTTCCAAAACAACAGTAGCTTTACGTATGTGTGCGTGTGCGTGTTGGAGCCTTACCCACCTTTGTAAAGAGTCACTCACAGTCATCAAGAAATTCTATGACTGCATGCCATCCCCTCCCCCACTCTGCGTACCTGACGGCGACCACCCACGCCCCCTCCCCCACTCTGCGTACCTGACCACGACCACCCACGCCCCCCCCCCTCTTCACTCAGAAACATACTGTAATCGTCGTCCAACCTGAAGAGAAAACACAGGTAAGTTGTATCCGTGGTGGCTGGTTTAACGCGATGAATATATGACTGTCGACCATCTGGGTTTAAAGTTTTACTCTGTATTTATGTTGGTTCGTGACTATCAGGTAATAACCAGGTGACGAGATTCTGACAGGTAAGTATGAGGTGGCAGGGGCGGTAAGTTGAGCGGGTGTCTCCTGAGCACTCAAATTATGGCGTGTGGTTTTATGATAAACTTTTTCTCTTTAATTATCTTGTCTTTTGCTGTGGTTGACGTTACGTGGTTGTGTGTCAGGGGAAAAAATGTCAATAACTGAGACACGTATTATAAAGTGTAATAGTAACAACTCTTCAGGTGTAGTAAATGATTATGATCTGTGGAGGAGATGATGGGAGAATGTTTAGGTAGGAAAGTTCATACACAGTAGAAGAACGACTCAATGAACGATGCTTAAATGACATAGATTTTGATTTTCTGAGTAAATATATAGAGGTTAAATATATCAAGAAAACACACAAAACACAACGTAAACAGAGGTGGATGTTTATAAAGATGAAGCCAGTAAGTGAAGGTCATATAGAATGATAAGTATAATAGTTACCAATAATCCTGAGGAGGAAGGTATGATTACCATGGCTTTGTAACTTACCTCAGTGTTGCAGTAAAAGGAAACAGTTCACGTCTTGGTTAAAATTTTATTTACTTATTATTATTTGTCCTTTAATATAACAAGATTAAGTCCAAACGTGAGGTATATATTTATCTCATATATAAACATATATACGAAATATTACGTTGGGGAGTTTCTGGGGATGCTATTGGTTCTTGGCAGCATGACGTGTAAGCTTTGATTAGCCAATAGCATGAACGCTCCCTCAGTGGGGCTTCCAGGAACTACCAATAGACTTGGCGCCGAGGCTCAGTGATCCGTCTTAGCTTAATATGTTTCCCTTAACTAAGAATCAATTAATAGGTGTAATTAAGGAGTTGTCTCAGGGTAATTATGACACCTTTATTGTTATCTTTATGTTGTGGTTTAATGAGTCAAATTTATTCTTGTATTACCTGTTATTGTGAAATTTGGTCCCACCCTAAAGATTACACCCCCCCCCCAGCCTCAGCTCTCCCTCACACCTAAATAAACAACACCTCAATTATCGTTTTCTACAAGTGTCATACATGTGTCAACCTCACCCCCTCCCCCCTTACAGCTCAACCTTGGGTCACACTACTCAGTCCAACGTCAACCAATACTAAGGAGTGTCTCACAACCCAACATAAGGGCAGAGGTGCAGCCAGAGGCCCTCCTTAGGAGTGGCGTCACCCCCCGGGCCCTCTCAGGGGCAGCGGCGCCCCCATGGGCCCTGACAGGGTCTGTGGTGCCCCCAGGTGCCCTTCCAGGAGCGGTGGTGCCCCCAGGGGCCCTGCCAGGGATGGTGGGGGCTCTCCAAAACGCGGTAGCGACCCAAGGGCCCTCACTTTGGCGGCAGCGCCCCCAAGCGCCCTCTCAGGGGGGGGGGGGGGCCTGGGGCCCTCCAAAATGCGCTGGCGCGCCCCAGGGACCTCCTAGGCGCGTTAGCGCACCCAAGGGCCCTCCTAGGGGCGGCAGCGCCCCTAGGGGCTCTTCCAGGTGTGGAAGGTCCCCCAGGGGCCCTCCGAAAGGTGTCGTACATAGTGCATACGTCCACCAATCCCTTACTTAACTGTGATTGGTGGACTAAAATGTAAATCCACCAAATAACAGCCAATAGGGGAACAGAGTAGTCAGTCAGCACAACACCCCAATTTATCTTTTCCTGTTGGATATCTATTTTCCTTTACATTGTTCATGATGCGAAGATACTGGAAATGTGATGATGGGCGGTGTATTTATTTAACTCCATATCTCCCAGCTAACTAAATAGTGCGAAAACAACTACCCCCAGGGGCCCTCCCATTGATGGCGGTGACCAAGGGGACTTTTCAGAGGCGGTGGCGACCCCAGTGGATCTCCCAAGGGCGGCAGAGCCCCCTGGGGGCCTCGCAGGGACGGCAGCAACCCCAAGGGGCCTCCCAAAGGTGGCAGAGCCCCCAGAGGCCCTTCTAGGTGAAGTGGCGCTCCCAGGGACCCTTCCAGGGGCGACTGGGCCTCCAGAAGCCACCCCAGGGGCTGCGACGACTCCAAGTTCCCTTTCAGGTGCTTTTCCAGGGGCTCCAGCGCCCCCAGGGGACCTCCCAGGGGTATCAGAGCCTTCAGGGGCAGTCCCGGGGGCGGTGGCGCCCCCAGGGGCCCTCCAATGGACGACAGCACCTCTAGGAGCCCTCCTGGGGGAGGCATCGGTCCCAGCAGCCCTTGCAGGGACCCATCCCCCAATGGTGGCGGCGACTCCAGGGGCACTCTCAGATGCGGTAGCGATCCCAGGAGCCCTGGCAGGGGTGGCAGCGCTTCCAGGGGACCTCCCAGGGCCGGCGGCGCCCACTGTCGCCCTCCCAAGGGCTGCGACGCCTCCAGGGGCCCTCCCAGGGGCGGTGGCTATGCAAGGGTCCCTCTCAGAAGCCCTCTCATGAACTGCGGCGCCCCAAGGGACCCTCACCAGTTTGGCAGAAAGCCCCCAGGGGTCTTCCAACGGGTGGCGGAGAGCCCCCAGGGGCCCTCCCAGGGACGATGACGCCCACAGGGGCCTTTCCAGGGGCGGCGGCGCCCACAGGGGCTTTCCCATGGATGGCTGTTCCTCCAGGTACCCTCCAGGGGGAGGCAGCGGCTCCAGGGGCACTCACAAAGGCCCTCCCAATGGCGGCGGTGACCCCATTGGCCCTCTTAGTGGTGGCGGCGATCCCAAGGGCCCTTCCAGGTTTGGCAGCCATCCCGGGATCCCTCCCAGTGGCGTCGATACCCCCATGGGCTCTTCGCAGGGATGCCAGCGACCCCACGGGCCCTCCCATGGGTGTCGACGCCACAGTGGCCCATCCACTGGCGGCGACACCCTAAGGGTCCCTCCTAGGGGCGGCGTGGGCCCTCCAAAAGGTGGCGGCGATCCAAGGGGGCTCCCAGGGCCGGCGGCGCTCCGAAGGGCCCTCCCAAAGCCGGAGGCGCCGCCAGGGATTCTCCCAGAAGCGTTATCGCCCCTTGGGGCCCTCCCAGGGGTGGCGACTCCCAGAGGGGCCCTGCAAAAGGTGTCGAACTTAGTGCCTACGTCCAGCAATCCCTTACCTAACTGTGATTGGTGGAATAAAATGTAAATCCACCAAATAGCAGCCAATAGAGGAACAGAGTAATCAGTCAGCACAACACCCCAACTTATGTTTTCCTGTTGGATATTTATTCTCCTTTACATTGTTCATGATGCGATTATATTGGAAATGTGATGATGGGCGGTGTATTTATTTAACGCCATATCTCCCAGTGATTTAAATAGTGCGAAAACAACTACCCCAGGGGCCCTACAGGGACAGTGCTCCCTGGGGCCCTCCCATTTGCCCTACCAGGTGCAGCCCCCTTAGGATCCTTCACAGGGGTGTCGGCACACACAGGGACTCCCCATTGGCGGCAGAGCCCCAGGGACCCAGCCTTTGGGAGGGCCCCTGGAGTCGCCCCCGCATCAAGGAGGGCCCTTTCAGGGGCGCAGTGCCCCCAGGATCCCTCCCAGGGGCGTCGGTACCGCCAGGGGCCCTCCTAGGGGCCCTAGCATCAAGGAGGGCCCTTTCAGGGGCGCAGTGCCCCCAGGATCCCTCCCAGGGGCATCCGTGCCCCCAGGGGCTCTTTCAGGGGTGGGGCTTGGGAATAAAGAAAATGTATGGAACCAATTTAGAATCTCAGTCAGGTAAAGGGATCTAATTATCTATATCTATATCTATATCCGTGCCACCAGGGGCCTTGCCAGAGGCAGCGACTCCCCCAAGTTCCTCCCAGGGGTGACGGCTTCCAAAGGATCCCTCTCAGAGGCCTTCCCTGGAACGGTGGTGCCCCCAGGGTCCCTCCCAGGAGCGGCATCGCCTCAAGGGGCACACCCAGGGGCGGCGGCGATCCCAGGGGCCCTCCTAGGCGCCCTTGGTAGTCCCATGGGACTCCTGGCCCTGGTGGGGCCTCCGCTAGGTGCCCATGGTGTGTTTGGTCGTGATGGGGAAATTTTACTGTCACGTGGGCCCCAGGGCTCTGGTGGAGCTTCTGGAGGTGCCCCTAGCACTCCCATGCGGTCCTGAGGCCTGATGGGGACTCTGGAAGTCCCTGGCAGTCCCATGTGGCCCGGGCTCTGGTGGGGCTCCTGGGGAGGCCGCTGGCAGGTCCATGGGGCCCTGGAGGGCTCCAGGGGCTCCCTTTGCAATCCCATGGGGGCCCGGGCACCCGATGTGAATTCTGAGAGCACCCTTGGCAGTCCCATGGGGCCCCTTGCTCTGATAGAGCCCTGGAACCCCCTGGTAGTTCCATGGGGCCAATGAGCCTACCAGGTCCATGGAGGGAGGGAGAATGGAGGGGAAGGAAGGGAGGGGATGGGAGGGAGGGAGGAAAAGCAAAGGATGAAAGGGAACGGCTGAAGGGAGGGTAAAGGTTGGGGAAGGGAGGGAATTAACAGGAGGGAGGCAGAAAGGGAGAGAGGGGAAGAGAAGGGTGGAGGGAGGGAAGGTAAGTGAGGTAGGGGAAGGAGGGGGAGAATGAATGTTTGGGAGGGTAAGGGTCGGGAAGGTAGGGAGGGGAAGGAGGAAGGAAGTGAGGTAGGGGAAGGGAGGGAGGGAGGGGAAGGAAAGGGGGGAGGTAGGGGAAGGAATGGAGGGAGGGAAGTGAGGTAGGGGAAGGAGGGAGGGAAGGGCAGGAAGGGGGGAGGAGGGAGGGGAATGGAGGAGGGGAAGGAATGGAGGGAGGGTAATGGAAGAAGGGGAAAGGATGGAGGAAGGAAGGAAGGGGAGAGAGGAGAACGGGGGGGAATAGGATGAAGGGGTTTGAGAGGGAGGGAGGGGAAGTGAGTGAAGGGGAAGGGAGAGAGGGGAAGGAAGGGAGAGAGGGAGAGAGAGGGAGGGGGAGAGGGGAAGGGAGGGAGGGAGAGAGGGGGAGGGAGAGAGGGTAGGGAAGGGAATGGAGAGAAGGGGAGGGAGGGAGGGAGGGGAAGTTGGCTTTATGGGGGCTTGGCGGTGGCCGTACGGACTCATAAGGTATCACAAGCATTCATAAGGACTCACAAGGACTTAAAAGAACTAAAAAAATAACTCACAATAACTCACAAAGACAATCGCTTTATGAGGGCTTGGCGGCTAAACATCTCCAAACATCTCTGAGCAATCCTAGACAACCAAGTAACCCTCTTAACATCCCCAACTAATTACTCCTAAACATTCTAAAAACATCATAAAGGACTCCCAGACATCCTCCACCACCACTAACCGGTTCCAAAACATCCCTAAGCACCAGAGGAACACTCCCCCACCCCCACTCCACCACCCCCACTCCCCACCCCTGTTCCCCCCCCTCCCACTCCTGCCCCCCACTCCTCCCCCACTCCTGCTCCACTCCTGCCCCCCACCCCTGCTCCCCCACCCCCGCTCTGGTCAGATTTATCCTGGCAGGGCTGTCCCCACTCGTTGCTCGTTGCTCAGGCATAAAAGGGCAAGAGTTTTTTCTTTAGTGGCTTAGTAATTACAAGACCAGACGTCCCTCGCTACTGAATGATGCGTGATTAACAATTAGCTTTGCGTTTTTAGGAGACAATTTTTCTTGCTAACATCTCATCAGGTTAACGAGTAATGTAGTTCGGGGCCTCTAATATCCGATGCTCTAGCTCAGGTTTTATTGTATGTGTGTATGTGTGTGCGTGTGTGTGTGTGTGTGTGTGTGTGTTTGTGTGTGCGGTTGCCGATGCTCTGTTGTTTCGTAAAAATAATTGAGGCGTCTGTCTGGAAGGGAAGCGGCGAATTATCCCCTAAATCTGGGGGTCGAGTCGGGCCAATTAAATTAATCCCTGACATGGACAAACGCTGGAAAATCCTTCTTCTTCTTTTCTCTATCGTGAAGAAAGTAATGACGTTAATTAAGGGCTGTAAGGTGGACAGGTTTACGAGGTGGGCGCCCCTTACCATCCCTCCCCCTAGACCTGCAACAACAGCATCAACACTCCTGATGACTTACCTGTGTCGTCCACCTGCTTGTTGTTGCATGTTTACTTAGTTGTTTTCCTCCCTTGTTTGTCTGTTTACCTACCTGCATGGTTGTTAATCTACTTGCTTGGCCATGTTGTCTTTTTGTTTACCCATCTGTCTATTTGTTTACTTGCCTGTCTTTTTTGTTTGTTTACCTGCCTGCCTGCCTACCTACCTGTTTGTTTGTTTACTACATACCTCCTTATCGTATTTATCTACCTGACTACTTGACTGTTTACCAACCCTTTAACTGTCTTTTTTTGGTGTTTACCTGCCTGTCTGCCTGCCTACCTACCTGTCTGCTTGTCTGTTTATATTCCTACCTGTTTGTCTTGTTTCCTTACCTGTGTGCTTGACTTGTTACCCAGCTACTTACGTGTCTGGTCACCTGCCATCTCATCTATCTGCCTCCTTGGGTGATGAGATACGTTCTTACATATACACCTTCGAGAAAAATCCAACTTATTAACCTTTCAAAATGGTTATACCTGATGGAGACGAGCCTCAGTTTCAGATGGAGAGCCTCACCCCTAGATGGAGAGAGCCTCACCCCCTAGATGAGAGCCTCACCCCCTAGATGGAGAGCCTCACCCCAGATGGAGAGCTCACCCCGCAGATGGAGAGCCTCACCCCGCAGATGGAGAGCTTCACCCCTCAGATGGAAAGCTTCACCCCCAGAGATGGAGAGCTCACCCCAGATGGAGAGAGCGCCTCACCCCCAGGTGGAGAGCTCACCCCCAGTGGAGAACCTCACCCCAAGATGGAGAGCTCACCCCTGAAGAGAGCCCCACCCCCAGGGAGAGCTCACTCCCCAGATGGAGAGCCTCACCCCAGATGGAAAGCCTCACCCCAGATGGAGAGCCTCACCCCAGTGAGAGCCTCACCCCAGGTGGAGCTCACCCCTAGATGGAGAGCCTCACCCTGCAGATGGAGAGCCTCACCCCTAGATGGGGAGCTCACCCCCAGATGGAGAGCCTCACCCCAGTGGAGAGCCTCACCCCCAGATAGAGAGCCTCACCCCTGCAGATGGAGAGCCACCCCAGATGGGACACCCCCAGATGGAGAGCTTCACCCCAGATGTAGAGCCTCACCCCTGCAGATGGAGAGCTCACCCCAGATGGAGAGCTTCACCCCTAGATGGAGAGCTCACCCCCAGATGGAGAGCCTCACCCTTGCAGGATGGAGAGCCTCACCCCAAGATGGAGAGCCTCACCCCAGATGGAGAGACCCCAGATGAAGAGCCTCACCCCGAGATGGAGAGCCTCACCCCCAGATGGAGAGCCTCACCCCCAGATGGAGAGCCTCACCCCCAGATGGAGAGCCTCACCCCCAGATGGAGAGCCTTGGCCCCACGGTCTGGAGATTCCATATTCCGCTTGAGTGGTCGTCCCTATCGAGCGAGAAACTGATTACTTATTTAATACAGACAGATTATTTTAATGGACGAATGAACCCTGAGAAATTGGGTTCTGAGGTAGAGAATGCGTTGGTAATAATGCTGCCACCGATGGGAAGTGATTTTGGTATTATGTTCTGGATAAATAATGTTGTTATTCTTGTTATACCTTGATAATGTTCTTCCTTTAATTGTTCTTATGTTGTTATTCCTGTTATACCTTGATAATGTTCTTCCTTGATAATGTTCTTCCTTTAATTATTCTTATGTTGTTATTCTTGTTATACCTTGATAATGTTCTTCCTTTAATTGTTCTTATGTTGTTATTCTTGTTATACCTTGATAATGTTCTTCCTTTAATTGTTCTTATGTTGTTATTCTTGTTATACCTTGATAATGTTCTTCCTTTAATTGTTCTTATGTTGTTATTCTTGTTATACCTTGATAATGTTCTTCCTTTAATTGTTCTTATGTTGTTATTCTTGTTATACCTTGATAATGTTCTTCCTTTAATTGTTCTTATGTTGTTCTTCATTTAGTTTGTCAATCATTTATTTATTCCTTTAATGTTTAATTTTTTAATTTTTTTTTGTTTTCTGTTCGTTTCCCTTATTCAGTTGTCTATAAGCTCTTGAGTCCAGGGTTGGCAGATTTAAACCAAAATACAACATCGTTTTATGTTTTGTTTTAATCTATGCCTTTTATCTTGGTTTTAATAAGTTTTTTGCTTGTTTTTTATTACTTCCGGATGGTTTTAATGGTTTATAGTAGATTTGGAAAAACACATGATAAGGCGGAGAGAAAAACGCTGTGGGAGGTATTGCAAGTGTATGGGGTGGGAAGTAATGGTTTAATAACACTAAAGTAATGGTTTAATAACACTGAAGTAATGGTTTAATAACACTGAAGTAATGGTTTAATAACACTGAAGTAATGGTTTAATAACACTGAAGTAATGGTTTAATAATACTGAAGTAATGGTTTAATAACACTGAAGTAATGGTTTAATATCACTGAAGTAATGGTTTAATAACACTGAAGTAATGGTTTAATAATACTGAAGTAATGGTTTAATAACACTGAGGTAATGGTTTAATAACACTGAAGTAATGGTTTAATAACATTGAAGTAATGGTTTAATAACACTAAAGTAATGGTTTAATAACACTGAAGTAATGGTTTAATAACTCTAAAGTAATGGTTTAATAACACTGAAGTAATGGTTTAATAACTCTAAAGTAATGGTTTAATAACACTGAAGTAATGGTTTAATAACTCTAAAGTAATGGTTTAAAAGAGACAGTGGGGAAAAATAAAAATAACAGTTGTAATAAAAACTCTACAACCTGGTAACAACAACAACAATAATTACATTAGAACCATACATCAATAACAATAACAATAACACCAGAACTACACAATAACAACAGCAACAATAACAGCTAAAATGTATATAAAACAAAATAACAAAGAAATAAAAACCACCACCTGGAAACACCTTAAAACAACTGGGTTATAATCACGACAGAATGACACAAGTGAGACGATCATGAAGAAGCAATAACTCACTAACGTCACGTGTAAATGATACTACAACCTTCCAATTTGCGTGTCAAAAGCTGCAGCGGCGGAGCTAATTTTATAGTCTCTTTGTCTAGCAGGTAAAAATATACATTCGGTGTTTACAAAAGAGTGTGTGTGTGTGTGTGTGTGTGTGTGTGTGTGTGTAAGAGCAGAAAATACTCTCCCCACACACACACATCATTAGCATTAACAGTGACCACATTCCCGGGAAAGTTAATCGTCAGCACTTAAAATACAGACAGGCAGACAGACGGACAGAGAGGCCAGTAGACAGACGGACAGAAGGAGGATGTAGGTCAGTGAACTTCGTATTCAAGTCTGACCTTGGTGAAGATGAATGTTTATGCTGAATTATGAAGATACTAGCCTTCACGGTCCTTCCTGAAGCGTACACACACACACACACACACTTCTGAACATCTCCATTCAAGGACTCAATAACACCACTGCAGCCGTGACGAGAAACCGGGAGCCATCTTCAGGTAACTCCAAAGACCCTCTCTCGTTCCTGAACCTCTGACTATTCATTTTCTTTAATTGTACATAAAAGATAAATTCTAGTCTGTGTGCACTTTCGAGACATTACTGGGCGTCATCACTGCGTTATAACAATGTGTAGGAAAGTATTTTTGTTTTCGTTACTTATTAGGAAGAAGCATTTAACCTGTGGAGCTTCCATGAGAATCCGGGCCCTATACTTGAGTCTCTATGAAAGTCGCTGCCACTGCTTGCTTCCCTTCTTCCTCCTCCCCCTCTTCCTCCTTCTTCCACCTCTTTTTCCTCCTCTTCTTCTTCTCCTCTTCTTCTTCCCTCTCCTCCTCCTCCTTCTTCCACCCTCTCTCGTCTGCTGTTTCCGCTCACCTCCTACCATTACTCAACAAGCACACAGATTACGGACCTGCCAAAGCAAGTGGTGTATCATGGCCACAATTTAACACCATTAACTACATCAAGTACGCTCGTTACTGCCTGGTTAGCGTTTATGGGGGTATGTTAACTCCGGGTTGCTGGTCAAGATTGATGCTAAGAGAGAACCCAACTTTTTTGTTTTTCATTTACTGTTTTTTATTTATTTTCTCAATTCTTCTTTTATCTCTATCCTACGTGTTACACTTTTTTCCTACTAGTATTCTCTTTATTCTTCTCCATTATCTTTATTCTCTCTTCTTCCTCTCTACTTCCTCCTTCGTTCGAGTTAAAAACGAATAATCAAAACTCAAGTTATCATCAATCCTGCTCCTCTTAAGCCTTTCTATTTGTCTATATATTTATCACATTTTATCTTATATTTTCATTTTCTTTTTTCCTGTATGTATTCTATTCTTTTATTCCCATCCTTTGTTATTCTGTTATTAACTTCATCGTTTCTTTCATCAGTTCATTCACCAAAATATTTTCCGTCTTTCTTATCACTTTTTCTCATTTCTCTTCACCCATTTCCGGTCACCGTTTCCTTGAATTAAATCCTTCTTTCTTCACCTTCACTCCCCCTCCCTTCCTTCTCCCATTCTCCCTTCCCTTCCTTCTCCCTCCCTTCCTATCACCTTATTCTCCCACCCTTCCCTACCCCTTCCTTCTCCTTTTCTCTCTTCCCTTCCTTCTCCCTCACTTACAATTGTCTTAGACTGTGAAAAAATAGAACCTTGTGGCCTATACTTTGTAATCCTTTTTTGCGCTACCGCTCACAGGATGAGTATGGGGTGCACAATAAACTAGCTGTTGTCCGCGGCAAAAAAAAATAAAATTCCACACACACACACACACACACACACACACACACACACACACACACACACACACACACACACACACACACACACACACACACACACACACACACACACACACACTAGTTTACCCTGGAAGTGAAATGTTCTTAATTATACAGTTTTAAGAGTTGGCTGGCAGATACTGAGTGGGTTTACGAATCGTCCTCAAGTCGGTGAGCTGGTTTAAGAGAGAGGCGTTGCTGGAGGAGTGGAAGTGGGAGGAGGAGTAGGAGGCGTTGAACTGGATTAAGGGTTGTCTTGAAGGAGGC